TAGTTCTAATGCCATCCTGCTCTGACATGATAGAATTGACGTAAACTTCTCAGGCAAGTTTGAGTGTTTGTATTCCTGACTTTGCTTGCATACTGCATGAATGCGTGCTGAACCAAGCAACGCATATTTTTCTTTAGAGTAAAGGAGTGAATTTGGAACCAGGGACTATGGAGGACTCAAACCATCAGAAATAACAAGGCTCTCTATTTTATTCATACATTTCTATCCGCTTCTCGTGAGGAGAAATGAGGAAACTGTCACAGGCGCATCAGTGTCTGTCACGTTTATGTCGCTCTGTCTCCATGTTCACACCAATATGTTTTTGGACATGTCTCGTCCACACTGAGACGGCGTTCTTGGTCAGGGAAACGCAGCGTTTTGAAAACGCTCTCCAAAGCGGATACAATTGAAAAGTCCAGTGTGGACTGCGAAATCGGAGGCTCGAAAACTCGCATTTTAGTCATGTGATGCAGTCATGTGACCAATTCAACTAAGATGGCGGACGGCATTACACAGCAGTTGTTTTGACAGCCCTATTGAAGATTAATTCTGATTCTAATATCCGTTTGTACATGCTCCAGAAGACGCAATGTTTACTCAGAGCACTCTTGTGTTACTCGCAGCAACAATTGTCAGTCCATTTGAACAACTCGGTGCTTTTCCTCAACATTTTGCCGCGACACTTCAAAGAGCCGGGAAATAAATGGCAGAAAGAAATGACGCAGGTCGAATTGTCCTATGTTTCACGCATGCGCACTGCAGGAAGGTAAGTGTTTTCAGTGTGGACTACCATTGAAAATGATAGTGTGGACGCAGAGTGTTTTCGAATTTATCCGGATCAGTGTCGATGTAGCCTTTGACTGCAGCAGTCCGGCCTCCTTTTCGGAGCGGGCCCTCTCACTTACTTACTAGACTAGACCAGCTCAGCACGTGTTTGAGCCGTCTCTGCTTCCTACAATCTTTACAAAACACCCATACATGCATAGCACTACCGATTTGCTGTCATAATCATGTTCTTTATTTCTATCTTTCATTTTGCTGGAGCCTATGAGCCAGGTTGTAACATTGAGCTTTTTAACAACATGAAAACATAAGACACTTGTTTCTTAAAGTGACTCACTTTGACTAGTGTAGAAACCACCTCGAAGCCTCCAATCACTAAGAGCAGAGGGGCTATGACGATGAGAGGAAGAAGGGAATACCCGATCACTCCGAGGACCTGACCGTATGAAACCTGCTCAGGAGAACAAAAGCATTTCTTATCCTCTGTATGTACAAGTTAGAGTTAACTTCAAGTGCTGCAGGTGTCAGCTGGATTTACCTCTCCACCAAGAACACGAGCCAGCAGGAAGATGGTTAATGATCCAAAGATCCAGATGGTGATGATCCAAGACACAACCTGTGAATGCAAAGAACAGGTTGGTGTTGGCACTGAATTATGCCACAGTGAGTTTAAGACATTCTTCTAACCAACTTTGGACATACACATATATACACACATATATATATATACACATACACATAAAAATAAAAAGGATCTAGCTAGTACATTATATATATGTCTGATGCAGATACATATAATGTAGAGGATGTACTGTCTAGTGAAGCTGCATTTGTTGGTCTACACATAAGGATGTGGTTGTGGTTGCTCCTCACATACAAGGTCTTAAATAATCAGGCCCC